GCACACCAATGACAATCTCCACTTTTGGAAACTACCAGCCTAACAATCTTATAAAAACATATTCAGCTTCCTTCTCACATTTTGTTACCCTCCCAAAGAAACCTAAAGTGGACTTCTAAACTAGGGATGGAAAGAATATTTGCAGCTATTCATTTCCAGATCCAAAACAGGTTTCCTGGAAGTCTGGAAACCCTATCAAGATGAATGATAGAGCTGAGTTTTCCCCCAGACTTTTGCACAGTTTCTCAACAGTGTTCAAATATCCTGAAGTGTTAAGAGGGCATATTCCGGATAAAAATATACATGGCTTTTTTTATTTGCAGACACACACATTAACATGAGTTACATATGCAGAGAACAGGCTTCCTATGTAGAAAACATGTTGCCTTGTGTAGAAAATACTGCATAAAAAAGAAATTCGGGGGGGGGGGAGCGGGGGAGAGAAACCACATGTATTTTTCTGCGGAGTAATTGTTCCGCAACACTTTGGGTCATTCAAATATTCATTTTCACCTTTAGCAGAAAGAAACTGCATTCATGCTTGCCCATGAATGCAAGGATGAAATTATTGAGGAAACACTTCCTTAATTCCCACCACATGCAGTTTTGTTTTGGGTAACTAGTATAGTCCATACTGTGATCCAAGAAGTAGACATTAGGTCCCACTTTGAGAGAAAGCAGCATATAAATGCAATAAAAATTTATATAAATAAAAATGTAATGTTCGTTTGTGGGATTAACATAACTCAAAAACCACTGGACGAATTCACACCAAATTTGGGCACAATATGCCTATCAGGCCAATGAGTGACCATCACTCATAAAAACACTGAAAAACACAGCAAAAGAGATTGAAAAAGCCAAAAAAAAATTACAATGTATGTGCAAAACCACACACACACACACACATATGTAAACATACATATATACACATATACACACATACTCACAAAAACACATATACACAGACTGTGCCACAACACATGGCAAGGGACGGCTAGTACATATATAAATATAGGCTACTGAACTTGGATCCCAATATGGCACCAAGAGTCCCAAGGTGAGTCCACCTTCTGGCAGTGCTTTGATTCTTTGTGGCCTGCTGTCACAAAGGTCTGGTTTTTCAGCTGATCTTATAGTTGGGAAGCCAAGAGCGCGAACAGCTGTGACTAAATGTATATTTGTCTTGGATCATATAGAGAGGAAAGTTAGAAGGGGGGGGGAAAGAAAAGAGGAAATTGTAAGGAAAGAATTTAGGACAAAAAGTCTCATTTTATTCCAGTCCTTGCGTTCTCAGTGTTGTGCTTTCATTCCTGCTTTAGAATGGCCACCTTTTAGCTTTGGAGATCTCTACTAACATAGATTTTGGGGAAGACATCTTTGGGACGTTTTTTGGAGATACAACTCTCAGAATTCCCCAAGCAGCATGGCTATGCTGTTCTCTCTAAATTGTTTGTAAGTCTCTCTAGGTCAGTGGTTCTCAACCTTCCTAATGCTGTGACCCCTTAAATCCAGTTCCTCATATTCTGGTGACCCCCAACCATAACATTATTTTCGTTGCTACTTCATAACTGTAATTTTGCTACTGTTATGAATCGTAATGTAAATATCTCATCTGCAGGATGCATTTTCATTCACTGGACCAAATTTGGCACAAATACCCAATACACCCAAATCTGAATACTGGTGGAGTTTGGAGAAAATAGACCTTGACATTGGGAGTTGTAGTTGCTGGGATCTATAGATCACCTACAACCATAGAGCACTATGAACTCCACCAACGGCGGAATTGAACCAAACTTGGCACACAGAACTCCCATGACTAACAGAAAATACTGGAAGAGTTTGGTGGGCATTGACCTTGAGTTCGGTAGTTGTAGTTCACCTCCATCCAGAGAGTACTGTGGACTCAAACAATAATGGATCTGGACCAGACTTGGTACGGATACTCAATATGCCCAAATGTGAACATTGGAGGAGTTTGGGGAAAATAGACCTTGACCTTTGGGAGTTGTAGTTGCTGGGATTTACAGTTCACCTACAATCAAAGGGCATTCTGAACCCCACCAATGATAGAATTGGGCCAAACTTCCTACACAGAACCCCCATGACCAACAGAAAATATTGTGTTTTCTAGTGGTCTTTGGCGACCCCTCTGACACTCCCTATCGACCCCCCCAAGGGTCCTAACCCCCAGGTTGTGAAACGCTTCTCTAGGTTTTCCAGTTCACCATGGGAGCTTTCTGACAGCACTAAAATCTGTGCCAAAGTGGGTTTTAAAAAATCTGTTTTGGCATGGATTTCAGTCTCCATGCAGGCCAAAAAACCTGGGCTTTACAGGGAAGGGGTGATTACATGCGACCCTGATTAAAATTACAATGGCATGCAGCCACACTGAAGCCCCAAATTTACTCCTAAAAGTAAAGTTGTGACATGGTCCCTGGGTCAAATCCCCACAGGGCCCACACCTGGTAAGACCTGGATCTTACTTTAAGACCCGAATCTTAGCAGGTATTTAATTAATTTGGAACAAACCAGGAAAACCATTTTACCGGAAGCATTATTTGGACGTCTCCAGTAAAAACCAAGACAGGTCCCAGGATATGGGCCTGTCTGGATGGGCCCTATGGCCCATGGTTTCAGGTATCCATGTGCAGACATGAAATGTATCCCCATTGATACAGAAATCGTACTCTGCTGTTCACACAAAATATGAAGAAAGAGCATTTTCTTGCCTATGACATAGGACTGCTCCTGGCATGTTTGAGAAGATAATATGCTGGATATTATGTTAGCCTTAAGGGTGCTTTCTGACTGCCTTCTATAATGCCACTGCTCAAGGCAACACATTGATTTCTATATTTAAGCCTGGCATTGAACGCGATGAAGTAGCCATCCACTGTAATAGCATTTCATGCTCCTTTTTGGTGGTTGCAGTCCCTCCTTCTAATAGTAAGGGTGAGCAGTGATGACTTTTGCTATGAAAACAGAGCCACGAAGAAAAAGTAGCAGGAGATTCTAGGGTAGTGCTTCTCAACCTGTGGATCCCCAGATGTTTTGGCCTTCAACTCCCAGAAATCCTAACAGCTGGTAAACTGGCTGGTATTTCTGGGAGTTGCAGACTAAAACACCTGGGGACCCACAGGTTGAGAACCACTGTAGAGAGTTCTGATGTTCAAAACAATGGTTGGGGGTTCGTTTTTTAGATTAAAAAAACACAGAGAGCAAAACAATGGTTAGTAGGAGGGGTGAAATAGAGAAAAGCAGCCTGAAGGAAAGAGAGGATGCTCAGTGGATGGGGAACATAGACCAAAAGGTGAAAAAGACTGCAGCAGAATATCCTTCTTGGAGGTGATCATTGCATGAAACCCAGAAGAGGAAATACTCTTTTTACAAGGAAAGCATCAGAGTAGTAGAATGTTGCCTCACTACTTCGTGGTTCACTTATTGTGGACTTGCTCTTTTGAGGTTTTTAAATATAAGTAGCAAGGGAACACTGTACGCTGCGGAGGCCTGAGCCTCTTGCTGCCACTTGGGACCCGTGCCACCTCCGCAGTCTCCTCAGTCGCGGCAGCAAGAGGACCTGCAGCGACCAGGAGAAGGAAAGTAAAGAGGGTGAGGAGGCGGCTCTTCCTCCCTCATCACCTTCTTTACCTTCCTCTTCCTGGTCGCCGCCCGAGCCTCTTACCACTGCTTGGGCCCCGCGACACTTCCACCGCCTCCTCAATTGCAGGGCCCAAGCAGCGGCAAGAAGCCCAGGTGGCAGCGAGAAGGAGGAAGATGAGGGTAAAGAGGGCGAGGCATCCCTACTTTGCGGTTTTTCACTTATTGCGGGTGGTCCTGGAACATAACTCCAGCGATAACTGAAGGTACAGTTGTTGGAGTTCAGCCTGTGATTGTGTTTCAGGATCAGGGTGCTTTGGATGTGGGGAATGATGTAAATGAGGTTCAAGATGGCAATGGTTTGGTCAGTGATATTGATGCAGAGAATGACAGAGAGACCCCTGTTCAAAGTGTAGTTTCCCATGAGAATGTTCCTACAGGGTATAGGGATGATGGTTTACTCCGTGAATTGCTCCCAGAGAGTTCCCAGGATTTGGGGCTTGAAAACAACTCAGCACCTGCTGAACCTAATGAGCATATAGATAAGCAGGCGGAAATTAGTCAAAACAGACAGGCCGAGCAATGCCTTTGGCGTTCTGCCAAGCTTCAACAGAAAAAGATAAGGGCCACTCAAGGAAAGCGAAACCAGTTTCTGAGTGCTTGGAAAGACTTAAAAGTTCCAAGCATGGAAAATACAGTCAGATGAAGCATCATTTAGAATCATGCTAAGTTCTTGCCCCCATCTTAGAGAAGCTTTGCTTTGAAGATTCATGCTTAAAGATTTCTTGTTTCCTGGTTTGGGTTTTGTCTCTTGTGATTACCTGCTCATGCCTTGGATCAATGTTTCCTGGTTCTCTGGATTTTGTTACAGAGAGTTGTGGACTTTGTTTTTGGGCATTGCCAAACTCTTCCTTAGACTAATTGGTTCCTGCTTATCTTTTTACCTAATTGGATTTGCCTATTCCTTTGAAGTGTTTTTCTTTACTTTGCTGTTTTTACTTATCTTCAATAAAAGGATTATTTTCCTCTTTAACATCTGGTGTTTTAAAGTCAGAGGGTTATTCCTGTCCTGGAGTGCAACAGTGTATATATGATACAACCCTCATGTCCATGGAAGTTCAACCCCATTGAAATAAAGGGTTTCCAGCCCAAGAAGTCATTCTTAAGGACCTTGAAAATGCTTAAAGGGCATGTAATTTGGTGGGTGTGTGGGTAAATACAATAGCCATACAGCATCCAATTTTGAATGGCAAAACCTGTGATGACCTGTTTTATCAGCAGATTTGATGAGGAACAAAAAAAAATCAACAACACAAATCTCTTAGAGTTCCTCAACACAGTTTGCAGAAGAATCTTCACAGCTTAAAAAGGTAAAGTAGTATTTTTAAAAGTAGTACCTTCTAGATGAAAGTGTTCATTTTCAATGGACTCCCGGTAACCTTCACCAGATGCATCCTGTAAAAATGAACAAAAAAAACCCCACATTAGCTTGTTTTGTTCTACACAAGGGTTGTTACCGTGCACCTTCAAGCAGTTTCCAACTTGACCCAAGGTGAATCCTTTCATTGAGTTGGCAAGATTTATTCGGAGATGCCTTGCCATTGCCTTCTTGTGAGAGTGTGACTTGGTTAAGATCACTCAGTTGGCTTCCTTGGCTGAGTAAGAATATAAACACAATCTCCCAGAGACTTCAGTCCAACCTTCAAACCACTACACAGCCTTGACTCTCTATGCCAAAGGGTGACTCTTTAAACCATGGAATGATGCTTATTGCCAATATAAGTCTGAAGAGAAGCCCATAGCTTCATTCAAGCATGTAGCACAGACATCCAACTCTGTTGGGGAACAGCAAGGATCCTGGAAGGATCTTGGCATTCATCAACTAATACTCTTCCACATTAAGGGCATCATCCATTTGTGTATACTATACATATCTGGGTTGATGATGGACCTTCAAAGAAATAATACTCTATGCAAGGCACTGGGACTGTAGCGCAGCTGGCTGGGAGTCAGCTGCATTAGATTACTACTGACCAAAAGGTCATGAGTTCAAAGCCAGCCCGGGTCAGAGTGAGCTTCTGACCATTGTATAGCTCGCTGTTGACTTTTGCAACCCATAAGACAGTTGCATCTGTCAAGTAGGAAATTTAGGTACCACTTATGCGGGGAGGCTAATTTAACTAATTAAAAAAATCTTCAGCAAGCATGCAAAAATGAGGAAGTACTCCATCAGTGTCACAAATGGACGGTGAAGCGACAGCTCCCCTGGTGGCCAGAATACCCTCATGAAGCTGGAATGGCCTTGTGTGTCTGAACATCCGTAGGGATACCAAGGTGCTTGTTTATAAAGTCATTGCCCTCCCAACCCTGCTATATGACTGCAAGCCATGGATGATCTACAGACGTCACATGCAACTCCTCGAACAATTTCATCAGTGTTGCCTCCGAAAAATTCTGCAAATCTCTTGGGAAGACAGGTGGACAAATGTCTGCGTGTTGGAAGAAGCAAAGACCACTAGCATTGAAGCAATGGTCCTCCGCCATCAACTCCACTGGACCTGCCACGTTGTCCAGATGCCCTACCACCATCTCCCAAAGCAGTTGCTCTACTCCGAAATCAATAACGGAAAACGCAATGTTGATGGGCAGGAAAAGAGATTTAAAGATGGGCTCAAAACCAACCTTAAAAACTCTGGCATAGACACCGAGAACTGGGAAGCCCTGGCCCTTGAGTGCTCCAGCTGGAGGTCAGGTGTGACTAACAGTGCTGTAGAATTTGAAGAGGCATAAATGGAGGGCAAAGAGAGAAATGTGCCAAGAGGAAGGCGCGTCAAGCCAACCCCGACCGGGACCACTTTCCACCTGGAAACCAATGCCCTCATGGGAGAAGATGCAGATCAAGAATAAGGCTGCACAATCACCCACGGACCCACTGCCAGTACACCAATCTTGGAAGACAATCCTACTCAGGCAATGAGGGATCACCTAAGTAAAGTAACGTTAGCAATCAACCCTAAAGGCATAGAGCTATAACAAATCAACCAAAATGCTACGTTCAGCAAAGGACTCTCACTTCTGCAAGAGCCTACCGTGTACCATGCAGCTGTGGACAAGTCTACATAGGGACCACCAAACGCAGCAGCATTGCCCAAACATGAATCAAGGAACATGAAAGGCACTGCAGACTACTTCAACCAGAGAAGTCAGCCATAGCAGAGCACCTGATGAACCAACCTGGACACAGCATTTTATTTGAGAACACAGAAATGCTGGACCACTCTCACAACCACCATGTCAGACTACACAGAGAAGCCACTGAAATACACAAGCATGTGGACAATTTCAACAGAAAGGAGGAAACCATGAAAATGAACAAAATCTGGCTACCAGTATTAAAAAAAACTCTAAAATTACAACAGCACAACAACAGAGAGGAAACAAACAAGGACATCTAATCACCTCTCAACAAAAGTTTGCTCCAGGCACTGCCAGGCCATTATATGCTAATCAAGGTGGTCAGTTGAAACATTCACACCTAGCTCCAGCAGACAAGAGTCCTTTGTCCCACCCTGGGCATTCCACAGATATATAAACCCTCTTTCCTAGTTCCAACAGACCGAAATGTCAGGAGAGAATGCCTGTAGACCATGGCCATATAGCCCGAAAAAACCTACAACAACCCAGTCATTCCAGCCATGAAAGCCTTCAACAATACATCAACCAAAATAGCTAGTGTAAGAAATGAGGAATCTATATTTACACTTTCCAAGGTGGCAATGCCATGCTGACATTCCTACTTGTCAGCTCGAGAGCCAGAGAAGCAACCCAAAACCTTGAGACCTAGGGACCCTAGTCCTGATCCAGGTCTGTTCCACAAAACCAGCTATTAAATCTTTCTTCCTTGTACCCATAGCAATGAAAGTGGATCCCAATGGGGAACATTGCTACAACAAAGTCCTGAACCCCCCTCCCTTCCCTACCATTCCCTATGGAGCCCCTGTGACATTGTTCACATGGGGCGGGGGTGGGGAATCTGTCCTCAATACATGAATGTGTCATGTTCCGTTTGTAGTTCGGTCCCTAGGACTTCGACATGAAGCACAAGAAGCTGTTGTTGTTTCATCAATGGAAACATGAAGAGCACCTTTGCAATTCATAGCTCGGCATACATATTTTATGCAAAATTTTTGGGACACGTGCAAGGAATTTGGGGTGAACAAAAGAAGATCAACGTGGAGAACGTACAGGCAAGTAAAAGAGATTTAAAGATTAAAATACTTCTCTACGAGGCCGCTTAATATTTAGCACTCTTGTATCTTGTCAAGACACTAAAAAGCCAAACGGAATCTCTAATGGAGCTAGAAGGGTTTGCTTGCAGGAAACCGGAGCGTTAAATTGTAATTCCTCACCACCACCCCCCAAACAACGAACCACTGAACGTGGTTTTAAAAAACCTGAGAAGTATGCCAGATGAGGCCTAACCTCAAGCTTTTTCTATTGGGTTTGCTTGAAAAGTTTTCTCTCTCCCCATTTTGTGGGGCAACAGAAGTGATGCCAAGCTTCTGGTGAGAATATTAGAGAACAGCCACATGGAAGTGAATTCCTTTCGCACTGATCCAGAGAAAAGGGATGAAACCAGAAGGGAGTCTCAATGTGTGGACTCAAGTTGCAAATGGCTAGGCCAGGATTAATATTACGTGAATAAGAAGATATTCCTGGATTTCTAAATTAACCCCAAAAGCAAGAAATAGGTGCTTCGTTCTCAAATCAAAGTTGTTACTCTCAATGCATCAGCAGTCTTACTATTAGGACTGTAAACTTCTAGAGCCAATTCTCTGTGTGCCATCAAGTCATTTCCAAAGCATTGCAACCTTAAGATAAACCTATCACAGGATTTTCTTGGCAAGATTAATTCAAAGGGAGTTTCCTGTTTGTGACTGGTCCAATGTAAACCAATTGGGTTTCCATGCCCAAGAAGGGCTTCCGAGCCTGGTCTCCAGAGGGACAGTCCAACACTTAAACCAATATGCCAAGTAAATTCTCTATTTCCTGAACCTGGACTCACTGTGTTTCACCAACACTTGCAAAGCTGAGACATGGGAGTTGCAGGAATCAAATCCAGAGAGTGGGAAGCCTACTTCTACTTTATACTATAACTTTCTAATTCAGTAGTTCCCAACCTTTTTTTAAAATCAGGAACCACTTTGACCAGGAACCACTTTGACCAGGGACCACTTCACCAGAGACCACTTTAACCAGGGACCACTTTGACCAGGGATCTCTTTCACCAGGGACCATTTGACCAGGGACCACTTTGACCAGGGGCCACTTGATCAGGGACCACTTTGATCAGGGACCACTTTGACCTGGGTCTACTTTGACCAGGATCTACTTTGATCAGGGACCACTTTGACTAGGGACCACTTTAACCAGGGACCACTTTGACCAGGGATCACTTGACCAGGGACCATTTGATCAGGGAACATTTGATCAGGGACCACTTTGACCAGGGACCACTTGACCAGGGTCTACTTTGATCAGGGATCACTTTGACCAGGGACCACTTCACCAGGGACCACTTTTCCCGGCACCACTTTGACAAGGGTCTACTTTGATCAGGGACCACTTGACCAGGGACCACTTTGACCAGGGAGCGCTTGATCAGGAACCACTTGACCAAGGACCACTTTGACTAGGGATCACTTTGACCAGGGACCACTTCACCAGGGACCACTTGACCAGGCACCACTTTGACCGGGGACCACTTGACCAAGGACCACTCTCCAAAATTAGTGCCAAAAACGGTTTCCGAATCAGTTTTTGGTCAACTTTATATTCGGTTTGGTTATTTGGGGTGCTGATTCAGAAAATTGCATTGGATAGACCACATCAGCTCTAGTTTCTTATACAGAACATATGCCATCCAATAGCAACCATCTGCTCACCCACAGAAAACCATATTTAATAAGCTAGAGCTAATGTAATAGGAGTAGTATTTTGTGGTTAGTCAGCCTCTGCCCTCCCAACATACCCGTTGCTTCAGCATTATCAGAGGGTTTCGCAAGACCAGTCGGTCTCATTGCTGTGTGGTTTCAAGGCAACAGTGTAGTAATGGTGTAGTAATTGTTCTTGGGGACCACTGGTAGTCCATGGACCACAGGTTGGGAACCATTGGTGTAGACGGATCCTTAGGCCTGGTTACAAGAGCCCTCTAATTGCTCACTGTCAACTATAGGGATAATCCCACAGCTATGATTCCCTTCTTAGATGAAAGAAGAAGAATAACTAACTTTTTGAAGGGCGAGGAAGTGATCTCAATAGATAAGAAGGAAGCAAAAATCTAGGGTATATTGCCAAAAAAATATGCATACATCCACCTTGTCCCCATCTCCCCAAGACAGCAATAAAATTGGCACTCCTGATAGCATTACAATGGAGACTATTGATTCGTTTTA